TATATATATATATATATATATATATATATATATAAAGTATGTACACAGATATATGTAATGTATACACGTTATACGCGCGTCGATGTTTTTCCGATCGTTTAGTTGCAACGATGCACGCTTCTCGCATCGCTGATTCTTGATATCAAACGGATTAAACGGGATGGAGGTTGAGGTTCGAGTACCTGGAGATTCTTACTATTCGATACAAAGCACAATGTTTGATAGACTTTTAAGGATCGTACAGGTATCGCGGCGATGCGTAGGCGTGAATTTCTCCAAACGCTTATATAGTCGAGAGCGAAACGTTTTACGAATAATCGGCCTGTGAGGAGAGCCTGTTCTTCGATTAATCAGGTTGCGTGTATCGCGGCGATATCGAGCCGCGCGGAATGCGTTTCGATTGTTCGTACTTATAGTTTTGCTGCAAACATTCTGGTCTCGCGCTTTTGGCTGACATTTTCTTGGAGTGCGAGCTGGTATGCGAAAGTCCTCCGAGAGTCTCGAGCCGGTTTCGGCTCGTGCAATGCATTTCCTTCGAATAATTTTTCTCTCCGGGCGCCGTATCATATAGATATTGCGTAATTCACTTGGGACGAATATTGTTTCGTCCTCTTCCTATTCCTGTAATATGCATAATGCGTACGCGGGTACCATTAAAAGGTCTTCGAGAGACGTGTCGTCTCTGAATGTATTTGCTATCTGTGCCAGGGTACACGCGTTCGCATATCATGTCTATTACACACGTACCTAATGTAATGATATAAGTATAAGAAATAACTAGGATACGAGACAGATATTATATTCATGTTGATATATTATGTGTTGTTGCTGTTGATGTTGTTAATAGTAGAATAGCGAAAAGGTGGCAGTACTAGTATAGTCGTTGTTCATAGAGTTAATGCGAGGCTAATTTTGTGTTATTTATATATGCGATGAATATACGTCGCGTAATCCGCACGAAAATAAATTGCGAAACTCGCTGTATCGTATCGGGCGCCGTATCGTGAAGCTTGCCAAAATCGACATATGTTCCCACGACGAAGCGAACGGTCGCAGCTGATCGAGCGGTGGCGATTCGTGCGAATTGCGCGTATCTTTTATTGGCACCGATCAAAAGAGACACGACAACGGGTACAGATCATACGCGTACGTCGCCATTGTAAATTGTGGGAAATTTTGAAACGGCCTATCGACGGTTAGGAACGTCGTTTCACGTTCCTTTTGAAATCCACGTGTTGGAATCTTTGATGAACGGACGTTCAATCTTTTCTTTTGGGAATTTCGCTGATCACTTGTGTACAGGCGAGCATCTCGCGCGAACAAACGGCAACCAAAATTCAACCATGATCATTATTTATGGTCTTGCATTATATCTGCACTTGGCATCTTTTTCTATAATACAATACAATAATCCGACTTCCGTATAACAAGGATCTCTTGTGAAACAACGATTCTTCGTACCTGACTTGATTCTTCTATCTGTCCATATCCCCTATGGGCTTATTCTACAGAACCACTAAGTATGACGAAAAACACGAGCAGAGAAACAAGCATGTGAGAACAAGACACGCTCTGTGATTGTATTGTAAGTGTCAAGCGCTTTGCAAACGAGCCGTGCTTTTCTGATCGTCAAGTCTGTCAATTTTTCGATACTTCGAATGCCATTCAATGTTCAGTGTGATTTTTCATTCTATCGAACTGGTTTGTTTCGCTTACAATCTTCTCGATGGTTATTTTTCTCGCGTCGCCTCTCTCGATTTACCGGGCAGAGCGTTTTTATTGTCGCACACGTAGGTCTTCACGTCTTGCCACAAATATGTGTCGTCATGATTTATTCTTGCCTCCTATTTTAAAAGGATTTTCCATAGTTCGATGTGGGGACACGAAGCAACGCGATCTCCACTGCGTCGTATCGTGGCTGTTTGTCTCTTTCTCTCTTTGAAACGGGTTGGTTGGCTCGCCGATATTTTGTTCTCATTTACCCATATCCTTTGGAAAGCTATTCGAGCTAAATTTATTGTTCCCTTCGTATCGCGTAAGAAGCAGCGGTATCGATCGCTATGGAATATTTACGGACGATTAATAACGCTCGATCCGTTTGCGGCGTGGAGGCGCGTAGCACAACCGCGTTTTTCTTCCGCAAATTAGAACGACAGGTCGTGTGTAGTTTGTTTTCCCTCGGGGTTGCTTCCTCGCCGCGACGGGCACGGTCGATTTCTTTCGTCGACCGTCACGCAACACACCGAGAAAATGAAGGGTTTCGCCGTTTGGTCACGTCTACCGGCTACCACTCGGCTCCCTCACTTCATCGGCCTTTATTCTTAATTGTCCGTACAAAACTGTGCGTACCTATTAACCGTAATTTACGAGTCGCTTCCATATTAGATCGGCCAAGGGAGGATTATACGTACAATGTTCTTAAGATTTTCTGCTGATACATATTTTAAACTACTTTATATATATCGTCGCCGCGCGCCAATTGATTTAACGTGGTAATTTAATTTTCTGTGGAAAGTTACTTTTTTCGTAGTCTGCGTGTTACGCGTACAAACACGCAGCTGTTACGGTCAGACGATAATTTCGATCCCTTCTTCCTTAATTTCCCCGAATAATACACGAGAGTCTGAAGTAGCTTAGGTCGTCGCTTTCGGATCGATTTTTCATCTCAACGTAGAATCTCATTGCGAAGATTTCTGATTATAAAAATGATTTAATACTCAGTCGCAAATATTACGAAAACTATTAAACCAGATCGATCCTGATTTATTTGCGCGCTGCCCGCGGCTATTCTTCGTCTCGTATTCTTCAGTTGCAATCGGAACAACCGATCAGGCTCAAATTTTACGATACTCATAAAACGTGTTACTTGATTGTGATATTCCGTATGATGGTGATGTAGATTCGATAGGCATTTCAAGAAATTGGCACATGAGAATAATATAAAACAATGTAGATTACAGCGATCCAAAAAATGATCTTTAATCGATGACTAGCCGTGATGTTGTAGAGCCTCGTTGCGATATACATCACTTTCGATCCGTGGAACGCGAGTTACGTGTCGATTCACACGGATATGTTCCGTTATCTTCGCTCCTTCACGCCATTAAATGTATTCTACGTTTGTTCGGCACGATATCAATGTGTCCCCTGCGATCTATGAATTTGTCCTTGAGAATTTCGCTTGATATGACTTGCCGCGCACATTTTCCAAGCTGGTCCTCCGTTTCTGCTAGTTGTTCACGCGACGATCGACCCTTGTCGTCGCGATGAGAAATTTGCGCAGATCTTCCATAACGATAAGAATTTTTTGAGCTGTTTTTTACATATACGTATACTACTTCCGCCTTTATGTCAAGTCGTGCGTTATCGCCACCGCGATTTATCGCGATTATCGTTCCCTTTTCGGACTGTTTTCCTATATTTCGGGACATTTTTTTCGATTTCGACGCATTTACATTGTTTCTTGCATGAGCATAAGTCCGTGTTTTAGGTGTAAATGCGAATACAGGGACAACGTCGTAGACACGCTGGACGTTGAAATTTTTACGCGGCACTGATCTCTTGTCCGTAACAGTCAATCTCGAATTGCTTCCATTATCAAGTTTTGGTATTCTCGTCGAGTGATCCGCGACCGTTGTTCTCTCGAGAAAACGAGTAGTATATCCACGCGATGAGTCGAACACTTTGCCGAATTTCGTGAAATTCTGACGATTCGCGTCGCGTTGATATTCTTCTCGCTTCTACTAAGATAATTAAATATATTCGGACTTGAAGGAAACGTCAGAGTACCGAAATAATCAATGTCGACAGTTTTCAACTGACTTATGAACTTGGGTGTATTTTTTAGGAAGAAGCGTTAGTAAAATTGTTATTCCTTGTATGGATACCGTAAAACCGTAAGCACCGTAAAACAACAAAAAGAAAAAAAAAAAATAATAAATCCACTTGTACCCGTACGACGATATATGAATTTTAACGATATTCTATAAATGGCTGTACCGTATTGTAAAATCAAAGATATATAGTGTACAATAAATATTAGTGTAGTAGAAACGACGTTATGTTGTTCTTTGTTGTTTCTCTTGACTCGCTTCTCCTTTTAATATTTCCATGTCGCGCGATGATTTTTATGGAATTTTCATGATCAATCATAAAAGTTATAGCATTTTAAGTGTTTTATTAGTGACAACATATACAACGATGAATTTTTGTTCGTTTCTGTGACTTCATCAATCAAAATTTTTAATGAATTTCTTAACACGTACCGGATGGCTTCTTTATGTACGCAACAAGAATGTGATATCTATCCAAGATACTATATTCTTGCTGACCATTGTCATTCTTGTTTGGGAATAAAATCTTCTGACTGGCTATTTCGCGCACTACCACATCTTCAAACTCCTCTTTCAGATGATCAGGGATCCGCGAGATGAAGGGATTAACCGCTATCATATGACCTGCAACAATAATCGACCCACTTTTACCAACCTGTATTTCCGTCACGTTGCTCTTGATCCCCGCTATTCAAGCTTTTGTTTTTTTTTTTGCTCTTTATTACCGACAGGAAACCGACAGTTTCGATTATCTAGAATTATTCTGTACGTTTTAATATTTCCATGTTCTGGTAGACAAAACTCTTTTCTCTTCTGCTGCAGTGTAGAATCTCGAAGCCTATGTCCTCCAGCATCTTTCTCAAGGTTGCCCGCGAGTCTTTGCACCGGTGGAAAAAAGGCACGAAGCGACTTGCATCCTGAGGCCAGAATAATTTCTGTGAGTAAACTCGAAATATCTAAATTATTCGAAGAATATTAATTAATAGACGGGTTACCTCCATGTATGGCTTATATCGAGGGTTCTCGTAGATCCTCATGTAGGCATCGAAACCGTTGTTCCAAGCCAAGAACATAACCAGAGCTTTTCCTTCTGGTTGTAGTAATTTGTAAATGTTATCGAAAGCTCTCCTAAATTGGATAACGTAAAATGTTTAACTGCGTGATAGTATAGTTATGTAGAAATGTGAGATCACCAAACAGTACCAAGTGTTTTGACACCAGTGGAGACAATAAAAGGATAATACGTTGCTATACTGTTCCAGTTCTTCGTTAGATAAAACCGAAGTCTCGATGTCCAGTTGCAAAAACGACAAACGTTTCTCGTTCTGGTACTTCTGTCTCGCGTAATCGACCATCGCTTTCGATATGTCCGCTCCTACAAATATTTACGAACGATGTCTGCATGTTGCTCTGATCATCCTTCTCCCCTTGTTCTCTTACCAATTAGCTCAGCTTCCGGTGGCAATTTTGGCAGGATCAATTTCTTGGAAACGTTCCCTGGCCCGCAACCGATGTCGATGCACTTTCCTTCCATCTCGGATATCTCTTTCTTGAATTCCTCGATAAGATCGAGCGCGTCGCGATATTGGGACTTGCTCGCGTTCACGTATTCCTCTGCCATGTACATATCGATTTGATTTTTTTTTTATTTTCCTAACGATATATGTATAAATTTGTAAATGAACTCGTAGCTCGGAACGAACGATGTCTGCTTGTCTCGCGGTTACGATTTCTTGAACAGTGGTGACGATTCGCAAGATCTTCAAGATATATATCGATCGGTGACAATGGTTTCGATGTTCCAGAAGGAAGCGTGTATATATGGACTCAATATATTGTCAGATCTTCTACTGGTGACTTTTCAACCTGGCTTTGGTATTTATATTCGGTGAGAATACATACAATACAAACAACTTTCCTGCGCTCACACACTTCCCCCATCTTTTCATTTTATATTTCTTCTCTTTTTCTTTCCTTCACTCGCCCTCTACTGCCCTCTCTTTTTCTCTTGTCCCTCCCTTCTACCCGTACCTACCTCAATATTCGAATTCTTCGTCCGCTTTGTTATCAAAAGACCGGTGTCCGTAGCTCGCGCCACCTCAGCGGATGTTCACGTTTCGAGGTTCAACGACCTTTTTCTACGATCAACTTTGGAATGCTGTAGGACCGGATGCATATCCGTTTAATAGTTTCGACGACCTGCTGGTTCTATCGTTTGACCCATAGATTTCTATCGTGATCGTGCGTCTTTCACGAAGTTCGACGGTTGTGTTCTTCGCGATACAACTTTGTAAATGTCGTCGATATTTTTGTCAATTTGATCCTCGGCTATGAGTAATTTATCAAATATTGAAAAGATTTTTCTCAATCGAAGGAAGATTCGAAACCGTTGAATTCACGCGTATTAATTATACTGTTTCTGTGATGTCGATAACGAGATGTATAGCAGAATGTTCACTGTGCGTTTTAGAACATCGAAATTTGACAGGGCAGGTCCGAATCTACTTTGCATGAGAGATGAAGTTTAGTTGCAAGACGAAACGCGGTTTATTCAGGTTCGATATTGTCCGATTTTTATCGAATATTCACGAGTGGTCTACAGTTCGATATGTATTCTAGTCTGCAAATATTTACCTGCTTAGCCTTTTTGCCTTTTCCATATCATTAACCGATCATTAACCCTAAAAAGGTCGCGATTGGCTTGGCAGCTACATCATACGATAGACAGAGATCTCTTTTATAAATATTTTGAAATAGAAATATTGTAAAATTTTCTCCCGAGCGGTGCATCATCTCAGAATATAAATCTTCATTTATCGATGTATCATTCGGATTGTCATCCACGATAGAATTTTTCTGATCACGACTTTCAGTTAGGGAAAGGCATCGTTAAGAAATTGAACCTGGCATCAGGGTTTATTCGCAGCGCAAATTATTTTTCACTCGATTAAAAGCCGCCCTCGTTATACCGATGATGGTTCCCAGCGTGTATTCTCGTTTCGCTACGGCATGCCGTATTTATCGTGCGCGTGTCGTCGTTATTTTTATAGTCCGGTTGCCGCGATCCTGCGCCCTTTCTCTCCGCGAAGCGTAATTAATAAATTAAACTGGAGCAACATTTCTCCTGATCGATCATAGGGATTCAGCGTTTATCTTTCATTTGCCACGTATTTGCATATGCCTGAATCCTAAACATAATCTTATGCGAAGATTAGGATATCCGTTTTATTTAGGAATTTGCTGCCCTTTTAACAAAATATGGCAAAATTGCGTCGATTTATATTTTGCCAACAAAAGTTTGAAGAACCAAGCTTCAAATTTATTTATACGCTTATTGTATAATAGACTCTGTCAGTGATTCAATACACGTTAAACATTTTTTAGATTATTCGGCCATAGACGGTTTATGCCTTTGGTCGGTCATGCAATAAAAAGTTTA